AACCTTGAGAGGGACATCTACCTCCTACTAGTGTCTTCTACATTTGCACACATCTACTCCTGTTTTTTGTTTATCAATATGAGAATTGGCTTTCTGAGAAGGAAAAACATTTTTCCAAAAAGCCATCAGTTGAGTTTGGAAAATATTTATGCATCCATCGGAATACAGGGGCAGTGTGCAGCGAAACAATGCCATTCATTGGCCAATATTGATTGTTGTCGGAGAACATTTGACAGTCGATCCAGGGAAAGATGCTAGTATGTTGTTTATATGAATATAGATAATTTTGACATTTGTCGTCAACATACATATTCGTGAGAGGAGAATGACAACGGCGGGTGCGCGGGCGATAGCGCATTGGAAGCGACAGCCACACAGATACACATATAAAGCGCTTGTTTTCTATTTCGAATGTTATTTGTGGAGCGATTGTTTGGACAGATGTTTTTCTTTTATTGCCCGACTCGGAGCTTAGTGCAGTTAACAATGAAGAGTCAATAAAAATTAGTTGGAATGGGTAAATGACGATGCCACAGACAGCGTTTCTCTACTCTGGACGATTTTATAATAGTGAGCTGAAGAGGGTAACGCTTTAAGAGTGGGAATTTAATGTTTAGAGTGTCCAGTGCATATTTGGTAGCCCTCTGTCCTTCCTCCATTAGGTTGAGATACTCTGTGGTCACAGTATTCAAAGCCTCATACTTTTATTTCCGAAGAAAATCCTTCGCCATGCAACCAGAGAGGAGAAGATGGTAACACAAACAAAAACAGAAAAGCTCAACGCACAAACAGAAATAAATCGCTGCAAAGCAAATCGTTTAATTACTTGTTTGTTTAGTTATTTTGTTGTTATTGGTGGTGGCGGTGTTCGTTTGGTGCTTTTGTGCCTGGCTTTTGTCTTAGCCACGGATGTATGTAGGTTTACCCATTCGAACTTTCATGGCATACGTGTCGATGATCCCCCAATAACAATAAAACGCACAAAGAAAACAAAAATTAAATGATGAGGTCCATTATTTACTAATTTATCGGGCATTGTGCTGGGAAAATGAGTTTTCTCCACCACTTTGCTCTCCATGCTGCTCGATTGTGCTTCAGGCACCTCTAGCACACAAAAAACGCCGAGCTTCAAGCACAGCTCAGCTGAGCCGACAGACAGATCTAAAGAAATCAAAACAATAGACACAGAATATCATTAATGAATGTTCCGAATCTCCTAATAGAGCAATCATAGTCGAAATAATTGAAAGTCATTGTGGTCTTCGTCGGAAACGAATCGCATACGCATCTCAGCAAGGTGTCGATCTCTTTGCACAGAATCCCCAGTGTTTGTTTGGCGGGGTAACTAACTTAAATGCACTACTAAATGACGAATTGCAGGAGGCGTGGCTAGCTATCTACCATAACCCATAACTCATAACTCGAATGAATTACTTTGCTTTATTAATTGCTGTCCTTAAAAGGGAGTATCAGTCTCCAGCCACAGAACTAGTTAGCTAGGAGAGATTGTCATTACTGCATTCCGGCCACATTTCATTTCTGACTACCGGACCCCAGCCCTAAAAAATGATTATTGCTTCCGCTGCTGTGTGCTTGGCTCGGCGCACAGCACGTTCAGAGATGACAGTCGAAAGTTGTTACCACATTCAAATCTGTTATCCGCCACGCTTTATTGATATTTAGAAAGTAGCTTCCTTTGGCTTACGCCGACCCGCCCATCAACCGCCACTGAACCAGTGCCATTGTCACTGTCACTGCTGCCCGCCAGCAACAGTATCTTTTGCGACAACAACTAATGTGAATCACAAGGGTTTCCACAACATTCAAAGGCCATGTCAGACACCAAAACACTTGGCTAACTACTCGCGAATGTAATTTGTTTCCGCTGTGACCTCTGCGGGGGCCCGCTGCGATACAAAGCATCTGCATCCAGCACGAGGGTATGTGAGACGGCGAGTCCGTAACATATGAATTATTGCCAAAGAATCGCATCATCTCGCCCTTGCTTTCGCTGAGCAAGAGTAGCGGCCATAACAAAAGTCCTGGTCAAGGGTTAGTGCTTTGAGCTGTTGCAGCCGAACAAAGACGTGGATACATGCGTTCTTCTATCTGAAGGCTGCGCTTGTGTTCCAACTACGTCCTGCATCCAGACGCATAGCAACTACAGCGACACGCTGCCTAGAAGCACGGCGAGTACTTGAAGATGAATTAGCGATTTGCATAAATTTGTCATAATTTCATGTTAATTTGATTTAATTAGATTTTTAACACTGCCACCTCCCTCGGCAGCTGCCAAACCACCACACACTCATAAATAATCCTTACAATGGAGGACTGCCAGGTTTAATGCATTCATACCCAGTGTTCCACTCGTTTATGAATTTTTAATTAATCACGTCGTTTTTAATGCGCAGCTACCCCTCCGCCACTTCGATGGGGCGCTCAAAGAAAGCCAAACAAACGAACAAAACAATTGCTGGCACTTGTAGACGCAGCTCGTTGTGGAAAGTGTTGTTGACAAAAACATCAACGTAAAAAGGCGAAACGGAAAGAGCAAATCTCATCATTATTGGTGCAATGTATTCCAGGCGAGCGATGTTGTACAACACCTAATTACATGTGTACATACATATCTGCAATCCATTTCACGTCGCCACTTGCGAAGTCGGGGCGGATAAATTACAACGGGAGTAGTTATTAATATTATCCCTTTCACACCTGAGGCCAAATCCAACGTAGGGTGCTTTGAAAATGGCAGCCATTTTCGGCCCGGCTGGTCCAGCTTCCCTCTGAAATGGTAAATGTAAAGACATTTTCGGATTTTTTTTTCTTAAAATGAATTATTCTCATTTGTGCACCGGTGAACTTGCACTCGTTTTTAACACGGCTACTTGATTTGACTTCTAAGTTACCAAGCAATCTGTAAGAGAATCCACATGCCCAATACTTGAACAAATCTGTCAAAACTCAATGGGGCGTAAAAGGGGCCTGGTTAAGGGTAAATTTCGTTTCGACACTATCGTAAGTTAGTTTTAATTAGGAAAGAATAACTAAAACTTACAATCGAATCGGCAACCTGAATTTGCTTTCTAAGCCAAATCTTAGGCACTTCACTTTCAGTCAAATTTTATTAGCTTCTCGCGTTAACAACACTAATGTTCGTCTTATTAGTTACTTTCAGCCAAAGCGGTGGTGTTTTCTTACGATGTCTGAAAGTCATCCATCCTTCCATTCATCCATCCACAAATAAACACACCCTAACCCCCATTTGACTTTTTCTTCAAGTGGTGCCATAAATTAATTCAGGCCCAAGCAGGACACAACCACCGAGACTAATGTCACCATTGCCGGCCCCACCTCCGCTGCCAACGTTGCTAAACTAACACTCTATTCTGTCGCATCGTCCTTTTGGAAACCGTTAAACACACCGAGCTTTGTGGCGTAAACAAGTCGCTTCCAACTCAGTTGAAAACCAAGGAACAAACGCACAGCCAAACAGACATAAACGCATGGTTCACAAATGAGTGCTAAACACACAAAGTCCAACAAGAGGGTGTTTTTGTAGCAATTCCGTTTTCTGCCTTTATGGTCCTTATTATCCGACATACGCTCACACAAACACAAGTACTGAGTGGTGGTTAATTCGAAACATATTTCAAAGCTCGTTTCTCTTAATTGATGGAGTAATTGGCATTAATGTCATTGTAGCGTCATAATGCAACTACTTCAATGGCTCTCAAGCGGCTGACTGCTCTGGTTGATCGTTGACAGTTTTCGTGAGCCCCCATCCTAAATGCGGCCAATCATAGTTCGACGGGGTCTGGCCTGAATCATCTCAGCGACAGGACAAATTAAGGACAACCATACAAATTATATACACATATTCTTAAGCAGCGAAAAATTCGATGTTGATATAGCCATGTCCATCAGTTATAATCACTCGATATACCAAAAGTCAAGTTTTCAATAAGTTTTGTATACAAAGGTATATATTTTTTTTTGTTTGCACCGTATTTTGTTATTTCAACCAAATAGCGCGTTATTTAAGGTAGGCCTTCTCAACCCAAACTGAGTGTAATGTTTCATTAATGGTTCTTAGAGTGAAAGAAATCTGATTAACACACATTTTCTGTAACTTTTCCCCGTAATTTTCTGGAAGCAAATGCTGATAAATTCAAAATGTACAAACATAAGTGCTAAATTGTTTTCAAGATGTCGCAGTGCCTCTCATATATGTGCTGCTATTTTTGTTTAAAAACTCAGATAAGCATGTCATCCTCATGACAGTTGTAATTCATTTATATTTAAGGTTTATTTGTTGTCGGATTCGGTGGCTATGGATGTCCGATATAATACGCTCAGTCTTACTTACGCTCCTATTTAACAAGCCGTCGCAAAAACCACAACACAGGAACTTTCACCTTATTGGTTTATTTTTTTAATTTCAATGCAAGTGGTTGGTCACTTGGTTCGAATATAAATTCGAAAAAAATACTTAAAATGCAATTTATTTTCCCCTTAAGGAAATATTGGGTGGAAAACTGGGACTACATTCAACACACTAATTTAGGAAAAAATACTCTCAATTGTGGACCCACGAACTTCTGCTCTTTAGTCCAGTCAATAAGAGATGTATGAAATTGCACAAATTTCCTCAAGCTAATATTTGGTGGAGGCATAATCTGTAAGGTCCTTTTTGTAGAGAATCCAAAGCTTAACGGGTTTAAAAACTTTTAAGTGTCGACCTTTGGCCCCAAAATAATCTCTTTTTTTTGCCAAAAATCAAATGGATTTTTTTAAAACGTTATACCTTTGTAGCGGCAAATCCAAATGATATCTTCACGATGCGGTTTTATCTTAAATTCGTTGTGCATAGTAATAGCTATGGTGGAAAATTTTTAAATGAACTCGTGTTTGATATTTGAAGAACAATTTTTCGCTCAGTGACGGTAACAATACTTACTTCGAAAATACATATTATAATATCGAAAGATGTTCAATTGAATGTGTACTTGTTTTTGTTTTTTATTTAGTTAAATAATACTTTTTAAATTGGAAGTTTCAATAATTGTTTTTCACTATGTACAATTTTTTTCTTGAATTATGATGTATGAATATGCGATAATACATTTTGTTAGTATATAATTAAAAAGAGAAAAACAAAACAACAAACAATACTCACAATACTTAAAACTATACATATATATATGCTATTGACGACGTACATACATACACTTATATATTTAATACTAATAATAAAAATAATTTACAATGGAGATTCGTCATTATTCGGTTATGCTGCCGAGAGATGCTGAGGAGTGTCATCGTAGGTGGGGTCTTCAGATTCAGTATAATACTGGAACTGGTCTCCGCAGCGCATTGTCCATGTGTCCCTCCAAGCCGTTGGGGGTGGATGTACCGGGTGAGGAGCCGGGCGATGATGTTGACGACGAATTGTAGAGGCCGGCGGCGGCATTAGCAGAATGGGCTGCATAAAGGGAGGGTGCGGACATGCCGGAATAAATGCCCGAGTAGAAGCTACTCAAAGTTGTGGGTGGCAGCTGAGCATTTTTTTGGGCTTCCAGGACACTGTGCGATTGATTTGTAGCAGCTGCTGCGGCAGCTGCCTGTGACTGGTGCAGTTTGGAGAGTGCCAGTGGATCGAAACCGCCAAAGTAGGGAACGGGGTAGGCCTGATCCAAGTGGTGTGACGGAGCAAAGTAAGGTAATTGATGGAATGGATTATATGAGCCGGAACCTGGATTCGCATTGGATGCTAGTTTCTGCTGTGTGTTCACCTGCATTTGAAGTGCGCCTTGGGGACCAGCTGTTAATGGATTTTTGGGTTTGCGACGGGGACGATACTTGTAGTCGGGGTGTTCCTTCATGTGTAGGGCCCGCAACCTTTTTGCCTCATCGATGAATGGTCGTTTCTCAGATTCGGCAAGTAGCTTCCATTCAGCTCCCAGGCGCTTTGATATTTCAGAATTATGCATTTTAGGATTATCTTTGGCAATTTGTCGCCTCTGTAATCTGGACCAAACCATGAACGCGTTCATGGGTCGCTTGATGTGGCCTTCCTGTCCGGGAGAAGTGGCGATGTTGTGGCCAATATTGTTATTGCCACTGTGTAATCCATGGTTTCCACCAATCGATCCTTGACTGCCGATACTTCCGGCAGACCCAATCGACGAATTAGGGGAGAGGGTGTGCTGACTCACCGTATTTTGCATATGATTTAAACTGTTGCCCAAACTGATACCATGATGGTTATTATTCTGCCCATTCATATGTCCCATGCTAGCTGTTCCCATGATCGGGTTGCCATTGCTAGCGCTGTGTCCGCCTACGGGAGAGCCGCCCATGGCTGCAGAAATAGCCGCCAAGCTGCTACTTTGGGACAGGTGCATAACTCGCTTAATGTCCATGTCGGTGGGGCTAATGGTACTTTGTGGGGCATAATCGCCCGGAGTAGGAATGTCCAATCCTTGACCTCCCAGATGAAATCCGTAATTCGGGTGTGACGATAGAGCAGCCATCATTTGGTTCTTCGCAGCTCTTCACCGAATAATTGGGACACTCGCCAACTAAATGCTTTCTTACTATCAGTGATCGACTTCGACAATATTCACTTTGCTATTCGTGTTAATTATTATTTGCTCACTTTGTCTTCTGTTTTATTCTTAGCTTTTTTCTCTTATTTATTTTGTGCTTTATTGTATTGTATTTCTAGACAACACACTTTCACTACTTCCCTTCACGACTTCTGTTCAAATCAAGAGCTATTCAACAACTGATAAACATAAAAATTCTAACGACCGACACGATTCGAACCGAATATGCCGAGTATGTTTTATGCTTCGCCATGTTTCTCTTTCTGTGGCATCGCTGAATACATGGCTGAATGTAGAGAGAGAGGGAAAGAGCAAGAATCACTCTCCGCGTTTCACGACATCGAAGCAACCCATAGCCCTACACATTAAGTCAGGTCAGACATGTGTATTGTGCCATATATACGTGTGCCTGTGTGTGTGTGTGTGTGGGTATCTAGCCCCTAGATGAGTGGTCGATGCAAACTGTGTTACCACCTTCGAGTAACGGGTGCGAGCGAGACTGCACTAGTTCGCCGGTCTCACTTACCTGTACTGCACAGAGTCTCGCTCATTGTTGCCATTGATGCGATAGTGTGTCTTTTTTTCTCTTGTGTCCTTTGTTGCTCATTGTGTGTGTTGTTCGTTGGTGTTGTGTCATTGTGTCATCATCATTGAGAGGTGTGTTCCTACACAAAGCGTGAATGCGCTGAATGCTGCTATGCTTGTTGTTCTGTTGTTTGAAGAAAGAGTAAACTGGCATTGAGTTCTTGTCCCATTGTTGTGTTCATTATGGCCAGATTTGCTTCCCATACTCCACACAAATGAATGGGGAAGCCAGGAATTAAAACGTTTCTAAAATTAAACATTTCTCTTTTTGTTTTATTTATATTTGATTATTGTTGCTAACTATTATTGTGAGGAACAATTGTATATCATAATAATCATGCACATGCCGCACTTAACGTATGTACGTACATTTGTATGTATGCAAACACAAGTACATACCTGAATAGGTGGTACCTATTAACACGCTCAGTCTGCAGGCTCAACGTTTTTTGTGAAACGGATAGAATTTGTGGTCCCCATGCATTCCATTTTTCTAATAAATAAATCCGTACTTTGGAAATTCAAGTGTGCGAAAACGCCAAATTCGATTCATATACCACTCTGAAAAGTTTAGCTAGTGTCCTGTCATGGAATCGTGCTGACCACTAAAGTGAAAAGGGATCCAGAGGAAGTTATAACCAGTGAAATACCCATTATTAAATTGAATTTTGTGAACAAGGTTTAATTGATTTTAGGACTCCTCCCCGCCGCTTTCCATTTTTTTTTTCAAATAATGCATTTGAAGTGTTTTGCAATGCATTATTGCCTAAATTATATATTTTTTCTTTACTTAGGCACGTGCACTCTGTTAGAATTATTTTCTGACTCTATTTTCAATTTCCCAAGCTTTATATATAATCTATAATTTGTAAACAAAATTGGTGCTAATTTATTGTAAGGAATTATATTATTCAAGGATCAAAAACACAGATACTTTTCTAAAATTGTCTAAACTTCTATACCAGTCATATATATATAATTATCAATGAGACGTATTTGATGATATGTATCGTTTGTATAATTAACAATAACACTTGTGTATTTTGTTAGTAAATAGGCCCCAGTTTCTCCAGGTTTCCGTTCAGACCCCGCATTGTAGTACCTTCCGATATTCTGTATTCTGACAATTCTGACGAGAAAATGAGATGCATTTTCTACGGAATTGTTTTAAACTCGGTACTTAGAGCTCTTAAAAGGTTCTTCCCTCTGAGCCAGAAAATTGTTCGTGATTTCAAATAGCCTCCATATAACGTCAACTCTCTATATTCGATATTCTGATAATGTTAGCCACATTTTCTAAAAGAAATTTTTAAATTCGTTTAGTAGAGTACCTTCCGTGCCAGATCCCATATAGCGGTGAATACTTCGGAATACTCGATATTTTGGTGGTTCCTGTCACATTTTTCAACAAAACTGCTTTCTATTAGATATTTGAAACTCGCAGTAGATAACAGCCTCTGTAGCAGGAAACCGTCAGAGTAGATTCTAGCCTTTAATCAAATTACATTTACAACAGGACCGCCATCTTTATGATATTTTGAAGACTTTTATTGCAAAATTTAACCGATTCCACTGACAAAATGGGACTGCTCTCTTGGTGGAGGATATTAAAAGTTCGGTGCGGCCGTTATTGTTAATTATACAAACGATACATATCTTCAAATACGTCTCATTGATAATTGAATATATATGACTGGTATAGAAGTTTAGACAATTTTAGAAAAGTATCTTTGTTTTTGATCCTTGAATAATATAATTCCTTACAATAAATTAGCACATGAAGACTTTTATTGCAAAATTTAACCGATTCCACTGACAAAATGGAACTGCTCTCTTGGTGGAGGATATTAAAAGTTCGGTGTTTCCACTTATTCATTCTTTCGCCATTCTGAGTTGAATTTTTAAATTATGATAAAGTTAACTTATTCAGATTTGAAATTTTGTTTAGTTTTCGAAATAATAAAAAATAGATAATATTTTTTTAATAAAGATTGGACATTGTTAATGTACTTTGTAGTTTTTAAATATGTCAAACCTCTGCCAAATTTAAGACAGCAGTTATTCTATAGCCGGCAATTCTTCCATACTCACTTTTAAAGTTGAAGGAATTTCATTTTTTAAACGTGCCTTATTGTGTATAAGCTCTCCAAAATATTTTAATAGGGTAAGTGTACCAGTAGTCGGCACTTTTAGGATTTTCGCGTTTTTAATCGCTCACAATTCTGAGTGGAACTTTTCAATTATTACAAAGTTTATTTATTCAGGTTCGAAATTTTGTATAGTTTTTGCAATAATAAATAAAGTTTTAATAATTTTTTATTAAATTTCATAAATGTTGTAGTTTTATTAAAACAATGCTTTTTTGCCAGTAGTCGGCACCATTTGCCAATTGTCGGTATGGCATGTTCCAACAGTCGGCATACCAATTTTTTTGTAGGAATAATTAATAATAATAATAAATTAATTCAATAAAATATAATATTTTTGTTTAGTTAAACTGATTCGACGTCTGTATTGTACTTTTCTTAAGAATATGGATTGTTGAGGACCTTCACAGACAAAAATTTAATTTTTATTAGAATAAATCATCTTTTCTTAGCGAAATTGTACACAACGATAGCTGACAATATATCTGAAGTAAACAAAATACATTTAGTTATAAAAGTTTCATTTATTTGGGCTTAAAAATAAAAAGTGCCGACTACTGGGACATGCCGAACTTAGGCACACTTACCCTATTTGAGTTGCACAGAGGTTGTACACAAAAGTTGTATCGTTTGTGACCGAAACACACAATTTGAGTACTCTCCAAGTTGTACAACCAGTTGTATCGTATGTGGCTTGTTAATTAATAATACTACTTGCTAATTAATAATATTTTATATATGAAGCATTTTTTACAAATTTTGGCCACTTACAATGTCCAAATGACATGTTCTCTACCCACATGACGACTTTGATAATTTTCTTAGATTTTTGTGTTCCAGAAGGCAATATCAGAAAAATTGCCTGATTAAAAAAATATTATTTTCTAAAAAGTTACAGTGACTGACAGGTGCTTAATATGGTAAAAATTTGTTAATTTCAACATTGTTAAGAGTCTTTCAAATATGACGTCTAAACTAATATTTTCTTAAGAAGATGCATTGCCTCGCTCGTGCAGAAAGGCCCTCACTAACAGAAATGTCAATTTCAATGGAATAAATAATCTTTTTCCCCAAATTTACAACACCTCACCAAATGTAGTGTCGCGAGATATATTCAAAATGTATTTTGCAATATATGTACTCAAGATTTGTCGTCATCTCCAATCAGATGGGTTTTAGGTTAATTGTTTTAATTATTTTCAATTTTATGCAAATTCAATGGAATTTTTGTATTGCAAACCTAAAAACATTACATTCCCTAAAAAATCTTTCAAAGAAACGATCCCAATAATAAGTTGTTTATTTTATTTTTGGAAAGTACTCATTGTGTGAATTATAAATCGGGCCATGTTGACTTATAACATGTTCTCCGCATATAACAGTCGCACTGAATCCCTTTCATCTATTGAGATAATTTACATTGAAACACGGGAAGAATGTAGGAAGATATGTGCTATGGTAATGTCAAAAGAAGGACAGCATTGAGCAAAGACCGCCTCGTCCCACACACACATACATATTTTTTTGTACCTCGATATATTTTGGGGACCAGTGGTGGAGCAAACAAATTACGCTGACAATGTATTTATTCCGTTGAGCTGCTGCATGTTGGCGCTCTTGCTGAATACCAATGGCTGAACTTTTGTTTCATTTGTAGTTACCTCTGGTGTTTCCATTCACCGTTCGTCGTGATATTGTGTTGCTTATTGCCATTGGCGTTGCAAGTGTGCGAACAAGTATCTCTGCTTGCTGTTCTACTATTGAGCCAATCACAATGGATCTCTAGTGTGGAAGCTTTTGTTGCCATTGTTTGTGCGCAAAAGCTATGATATGTTTTTATGTACTGGCGGTAAGACTGGAAACTAACAGTGAGGGACACAATGTTGTATGACATTTTAAAAGGCCAGACAATGAAAGGGTTAACCTGCCTTATGAAGATTTATCTGAAGTACAAGTAATGGATATAAGAATTCTATTCCAAATCCAGATGGTTGATATGGGCTATGACTGAAAGCCAAAATGATAACTAACTTACCAACGAATTTAGTTGGAAGTTAATATTTGCATATCGATATTAATAACAATATGGATATTTCAAATTGTTTCTAAAGGGAATTAAAACAAGAAAAGTATGTTTCAAGCTATTTTTAAAGTTGATCCACGTTTTAGTATTTTAGTACATTCAGGCCACATTTCTGCCCACAAACAAACATTTCTGCTTTGTATTGTTTATACTTAGTCTTTTTATCATCAGGAAGGAGTATTTACTCCCCTTATACGTTACCGCTCTATTGCACATATTTTGAAGGGTTTTAACCTTTATTTTAACCGATTTGGATATACTGGGCAATTAAGTGAGTAGACGACCTCCCAATTTTATATATTTGCAAGATTTTGGTAACAGATTTCACTGAATGGTATGTTTTATTTTTGTATTTTACGAGAATTCAAAATGTTAGCACCGATACTTCTTAAAAAACTCAATAAGCTTACTTTTTAATGAATTCAGAATATATTGGGATAATTAAGAGTTGGCGCCGCGAATAAAACCAATTGCCATTATCGCAAATTTAGTTTAAACGCAAGTGCTGTATAAAGAACAATTCCTTGAATTATGTGCAGAATTTTCCAATTTCAACATTTGTAATTTCTAAACGCGCCCAAAGTGCAACAAAATCATAAAAATAAATAATGGGCGGAATGTTTTAATTGTTATTCCAAATAACTACTGCGGCAATAAACATAAAGCAATAAATGTTGTTAGCGGCCTGTCGCTTTGTGCTGTCAAACTATTTGTAATTAGTGGGTCATGACATGGACTACTAGGTACAATAAGTAAATGTCAGGTAGCAGCGAATCTTAGAAACTCCGGGCATTATAAAACAATAAATTTGGATGTTATGATGTTCAGCAACTCCATTTTCAATTCTGTGGAAAAAGTTGCTGTAACTATTTCTTGCGGACACAACAGGCCCAAAATGACTTTATAATTGCAGCAATGTGAACAATAATACTTCAACACTCCAGTGGAAATATCCCTCAGTACCAAACAATAAATGTCTTCCCCGACGTTTTGTAATAAAGACGAGTTTAACTTTGCAATCAAGAACTGCTATCAATGGTTTGTCATTGGTTAAAAGTTTTCTTAAATAAGCGTGAGCCATATTAATGCAAAATGTGCATGGAACAACGCCTGTATTGACTGCTGGACCCCACTTCCTCGAGAAACGTAATTTATATTTAAATTTTATATTTATGTTATACATAAATAATAAAACTACTTAATTTAGGTTGAAAGGCTTGGCGCGATATCAGAGAAATTCTAATACGCTCATGACAGATTATCAAAAACAATACGCAGAACATTACATTTGCATGGTGCTTCCTATTTTTATTGTTATAACGTTACTGGATCTACAATTTAAAACTTTGACTTATATGTAACCATTTCTAACACTGATTTTCCAAAAATATCTACAATTGTAGCACAACGCTTAGTATTTTTTTAATAAATGATACACGCCTTTGAATTCACCAAAAACACCAGCCAAAACATCGGCCATAATAAGTGTGCTTGCATACTCGACATTGTGTAATAGCTTTTACGATATTTTATTAGATGTTATCTGTTTACTATAAATCCAGTACCTGAGAATGAATTTAAGGAGAACTTTTAATCCATTTTTACACTGAGAAGTAACAAAATTGTGCTGAAAAAATTTTGTAAGTTCAACTTGAAAGAAATCTTAACCCTACCTAAATGGCAAAATATGCAACTGACTGTGCTTCTCTTCTTCTAAAATCCGTACGCAATTTTTGCCCACATTTGCACTATTTCCCAGATTCGTTCAAGTATATAAACAACCATATTCGTTCAGCAGAGTCATACAACGAATTATTTTTCAAATCAGACATGGGCTAAGTGGTACCATTCACGAAATAAGCTCTAGTTGAGAAAAACCTTAGATGGCATAGAAAATAGGAAAAAATAAAAGGATTCTGCGACGAAATCACCTGAATTCAGGTGATTTGGATATTTCAATTGTCAAAACATGTTTACAGATATTTTTTTATGTGTATGCATATTTTTGAATAATAATTTTGCAATTTTTACCAATTTTAATTAATTAAAATGTACAGCTTTTGGGGAAAAAGTTGTTGCGTTTTGGGATAAAAAAAACGTAGTCATATTAGGAACTCAATATTGTAAAACAATCTACGAAGTTTCATTATTATACCCTCCACCATACATAGTATGGAGGGTATATTAAGTTCGTCATTCCATTTGTAACTCATCGAAATAATCATTTTAGACCCAACAAAGTGAGCAGCATAAAATTCGTCCGTCCGTCTGTTGTAATCACGCTACAGTCAAAACAAATTAAGATAAGAAGCTAAAATTTTGCACAGGCCTCTCTTTTATCTGCAGGCAGGTCAAGTTTGAAGATGGGCTATATTGGTCCACGATATCGTATAGCCCCCATATAAAGGTACCCCCCGATATTCGGTATTTTGATAATTTTAGCCGCATTTTCCAATGGAATGGTCTGAAAATCCACACAAGGAGTTCCTTGTGAGTACTTCATCCCTTGGAAGAGCATTATCTATATAGGTCCACGATATCGTATAGCACCCAAATAACTGTACCTCCCTGATATTCGGTATTTTGATGATTTTAGCCACATTTTTCAACGGAATTGTCTGAAATTCTACACAAAGAGTTCAATATGCGCACCTTATCCCTTGGAAGATAATTATTCTTATTGGTCTACCATATCGTATAGCCCCATATAACGGCACCCCCCCCCCCCCATCCCGATGTTCGGTATTTTGATGATTTTGGCCACATTTTTCAACGGAATTGTCTGAAATTCTACACAAGGAGTTCGTTGTGAGTACTTTACCCCCTTGAAGAGAATTGTCTATATAGGTCTACGTTATCGTATAGCCGTATATTCGGTATTTTGATGTTGTAGCCATATTTTTCTGAGTACTTTACCCCCTGGAAGAGAATTGTCTGTATAGGTCCACGGTATCGTATAGTAATGGTACCCCCTATATTCGGTATTTTGATGATTTCAGCTACATTTTTAACCGGAATTGTTTCAAATTTTGTATTTAAAGTTTGAAGCTCGTAATGAGAAAAAGTGTCTATGCAGGTCCACGTCTTCGTATAGCCCAAATATAACGGCACCTCCCTTTATCCGGTATTTTGATGAGTACGTTATTCACCGAAATTGTTTCAAATTTGATGATATTAGCAACATTATTTAACGGAATTGTTTCAAATTGCGTATATGAAGTTCGGAATCAATAATAAAGCCTATGACAAAAATTACTTATGCAGGTCCACGACTTCGTATATCCCCCATATAACGGTTTTCATGTAAGTGGATTTTTTGACTAATTTTTTTGAAATTATACAGTTTTAGCTACATTTTTCGCCCGACAGAACATAGAGCCTATTTTACAGGTAGGCAAAAGGCAATATCGACTGTGAAACTCTGCGTGGTTTCTGTTTCATCGATGACACGTTTTTTATGTCACAGATTATCGATAAAACAACAACCACAAATAAAATGTCAGAGTCGATAAAGCCGTCACTCTTTTCTCTTGTCTTATTGATAACGCGCTGCTCAGTTTTTCATTGCACACGTTAAATTCATGGCAGCATAAATGACATAGAGAATTTCACAAAGCGAAGTTCAGTGTCGATAAATCTTAACTTTGTGTAGAGAGTAGAGCGTTCATCCAAACATGGATTTGACCCTTATGTTCTTTTCTCTTGTCTTATTGATAACGCGCTGCTCAGTTTTTTATTGCACACGTTAAATTCATGGCAGCATAAATGACATAAAGAATTTCACAAAGCGAAGTTCAGTGTCGATAAATCTTAACTTTGTGTAGAGAGTAGAGCGTTCATCCAAACATGGATTTGACCCTTATGTTCGAGTTACAATTTTTCCTTTGTGACATCGAAACAATTGCAAATCTGGTAGATACTTGCAGGTTCTGTAACAGAGCAAAATTATTTTAATTTGTTGTTTTATCGATAAAATTTAACGCATCGCACTAATACATGTTATATGCACTAATACATGTTTTTTTTACTTTAATGGTGAAAAACGTCGAACAATGCAAAGAATGTATGGCAACGTTGTTAATTTCATCCCTATATTTAGATCAGCTGTTAGCCACTCTGTCTGATATTAATTCAAGTTGAATGTCATTTGTTTCTTTGTAGGTCAAAAAAAAGAAGAAGGGGCATTGTATACAAATAAAATATTCTATTTATTGACGACATTTAAAACACACTATCAATATCTGTAAGATTCGAATGATATTTAAATTTATATCTCTAGCAATAAAGTTCGAATGTGCCAATCAAAACTGGTCATGGTGCTGTCATTAAAATTTGAATATTTTGCATAAAGAAGCGCTGTTATTCATATTCTTGGATGGAAGTCTTCACTAATAAGAGTTCTAAGTATTGTTGAATGACTGTTTGGAAATCCTCGTGAAGTTGTAAAAAACTGGTATGTTATTCAACATCGGAAGGTATTTCATATTTTCCCAAAGGCTACGTGATTGCTCCAAAATTCCCTGTTCCTAGATGTACTTATATTTTTCCATTGTAACTGTAACATACACTACTTCTTACTCTTTATGTGAATTTAGGTCATTAAACTCGTCTTAAAAGGACTACGTAAATGTATTTCTTTTTAAGATTGTAATTGAATGCTGTATATTTTAAAACACTTTCTAGCATTTGCTGATTCCGTCGAATACACCGTAAATTATTAATGCATGTTTTATATATCTTTTCAGATCACTCATCTAAGAACATATTTTCAAATAAAATGAGACATATAGTTTGCTTGCTGGATATAAATCCTGACTGTTTAGTGAAAATATTTTCATTCTGCAGCGAAAAGGATCTACAAAACCTTTGTAAAGTACATTGGATGCTGAGGCAAGTGATTGAAAATAACATCTTTAGCATCAAAACGCTAGACTTACTTATGTGTGGTCGTCGCAATGACCCGATCATAATGCAACGGTAATATCAAAGTATTAACAGCACCGATAATCCCATTGTTACAGATTCTTTTAATACGTCCAATTGTTTGTGAAGAATGCAAACAATTGCATTTCATAGACAATTTTACTTGAATGACGGTTACTAAGTTTCTGTGATGTAGGGATCATAACAAATAATTTAATATTTATTAATTTAATTATAACTTTTTAGCACCCAGTATGCACTATCTTTTGGCAAACGTATGGAAATTTCTAAGAATTGGTTAAATGGCTGCTATCGTGAGCAACAATACTTTCACCGTACTAAAATGTTTCCAACCAAACTCTTTCTTGATAAAGAATGGCTGTACTTGTCCTACGCTTGTTATATTAGCCAACATAAGCGTTTAAAGAATGAAGCAGTTCAAAGGAAGTATTTTCATGAGATTTCGTCAAAAAACAACAACGACATATCAGATTTTACCAAGAAACATGAGTCCATATTTGCTGGCAGAGTATCAGGAGGCTGTTTTATATACGAAGATGAGTGCATGACGGAACAACAGCTGCATTGTCCCAAAGAATACTTGTGGTGTGTTGACTTTGAAAGAAATTTATATGTTACAAGTACTGATCACTGTTCTAAAATATGGAGAAGATCAGAGGAAATGGGATTGCTACATCTGGATTTAGTATCAAACTTGAACGGCTCATACAAAGCTCTGCAGTTCAGTAATGATGGGTTTCGTCTTTACGGTGGTCTTTACGCTTCAATTATAGATCGCCGTGCACTGCATGAAATTGATGTGGAAAGGTAGGTCAAAGTATATAGACATATTTTTAAACCTTCCAGTATACTATGACGGGTACATTAGCTTCGTCATTCGTTTTGTAAATCCCCAAAAAGTCATAACTGACCCTACAAAGTATATAATCTTGTTCAATGTTAAAATACTTTTGTAGTTGTTGTATATTATTGGTTTATTCAACTTTTTTAACAAAATTCTTTGAAATATTGCATTTTAGGATCCTAATATGAATCTGATCCTTCGCCATTTGTTTTGTAAATCCCCAAAAAGTCATAACTGATCCTACAAAGTATGTAATCTTGTTCAATGTCAAACTACTTTTGTACTTGTTGTATATAATTGGTTTATTCAACCTTTAAAAAAAAAATTCTTTGAAATGTTGCATTTTAGAATCCTAATATGTAAATGATTCAACACTGTACCTATAAAACGGTTGCTCCCTACACTGTGAATAGTTTAACGGCTGGAAGACCTGTAATTTGACATTTTTACCCTCGAAGTAGGGAGCCACCTAGAAAAAAACTAGAACCATAGGTTCATATATTAGGGCACCGCTCTATTTTCGGTATATTGGAGTGTTAACCTCATTTTACGGCAGTAACACCTGTATCATGGCCCAGTTGAGTAATTGCCAAAATATGTTTCAATAATGAAGATATTCATTCTGTTGGCACATAAAGGTCAAAGTTGACGATTTTTTGAAGATTGGGAATTTATTGGTATTGCCACAAGAAGTACGAATGCTATTGAGAAGAAATGCAAAAATTCACTAATTATTGATTAAGGTGGAAACCCTGACGAAAACTTTAAAATTGTTATTAACATTAATTTGTTTTACAAATACAGGTTGCTAACATGGTACAATAAGGAGGTAGAACAGCTCCGTAAAGCTTCACAAAAACAGACCTAAGGCTATGCCTGCTTACTGTCGGAATTATTCAAAATTATATCCAACAAGTTGTTTCCATTATTTTAATTTTTTCCTAATTTTTAAAATGAGTTTAATAGCGCGAAAAATTAATGAAATCGCTTGATTTTCTTTTAAGTTGAGATAGAAAGTCAAAAGCGATGGAAGTTGTATTTTTCACTAAAATGTATTTCTTTTAAATAAACGTTTATAATATGAATTTATGTGAAGTAGATCATACCAACTATGAACCTTTTATTAAACATAATGTGCACAAGAGAGAGTAGTAGCTCATTGCTAAGAAAAGAAAATAATCACTATGAAATGTCGCAAAATTCACCATGGTGGAGAATTTGAATTTTTGTATATGTATTTCCTAGTATCTGCATATACATGAGTTTGTTTGAAAAAAAAATTAATTTACATAGTTCTGGGGGGAAGTTTGGTATTTCGGGTATACGGCCTGAAGGTATATAGCGAGCGACTGCAGCTCTGATGATGTCTCGAAAATTCTTTCTGCTACCCGAACATCAGAAAGGTTTGGCAGTTCTCTGAAAAGACGGTTGGTAAACTCTCTGAATTTTGGCCAGTGAGCTTTCCCATGGTTAAGGAAAGTGCGGCGGTTATGAAATCGCCGATCTGCTTATGGAGACGATTATCGGGAGGCGTTTGATCCAATCGAAATGACGGGTTATCAGGTCACGTCATTTATCAGACCGGGTGGCACTATGGTGAAGTCTGGCGAGCTTATTCGGGTGGGGCATCCTTGTTAACCGTGCAGAATGTGGACCAGTCAATCTACTCTGCCCGCGCTGATCCCCTCTGGTCATTAACTAGGACGGAATGCCACAACTCGTGGTGAGCCTTAAAATCCCCTAGTAAAAGACGGTTATTGACTACTAACAACTTCTTGATAATAATAATTTAAATTAAGTAGCAAATTAGTAATTAGACCCTCAGACACAACTCCTCTACCAAACTGAACAACAGTTAACTAACAACTTCTTGACAGTGCATGGACGAAATACTTCGGCAATGAACAAATGCATAGATTAAATTTCATTTCATTTATTTTCATACAATTCAATTTAAATAAGCCAACATGGCCAAAATCTTATATTAACATACAACAGTATAAAAACAGCCTATAACTATATTAATAGTAGAATAGTAATATATATACAAAAATAATAATAATAATAACAATTTAAATTAAGTAGCAAATTAGTAATTAGACCCTCAGACACAACTCCTCTACCAAACTGAACAACAGTTAAGCAAGGTAAAAAGGAAAAAGGCAAGAGGCATGAATACACTCAAGTGCTAATCATCTTTAAATTATGTACTCTATGGAAAATAAACAACCTAAAAATGGCCCTCAGTCAATAAATAAGAAGAAATAACAAAAAATAACCCGCAACCAGAAACTCAATGAATAGACAAATATACAAAACACCTCTTCCTGTACATATCAAAAGAACAGGTGAAATTACGCAGGGTCAGAGGAAGCTGACTCCACAATCTCGCAACTCTCACAACAAACGCCTTCTCGCCAACTACAGACGAAAATCTTGGAAACAGTAATTGCGGATTTCGATTTTATTTACAAAACACACAATTATTATATAAAGGAGAATTAACATTCCTCATAACTCTGTAATGACACGAAAGCAGGCGATATTCAACATATCTGTCAAAGGACAGACCAAGAAACTTAATAACATGCTGTGTTACATGATCACTACGGCGCAACCCAAAAACATGCCTAACAATAGAGTTAACAAGTTTGCGTACGCGCAGAATTAGGCAAGCATTCGCCCCAGAGATGACTTCCAAACAATAGTTGACATGAGACATTAATAAAGATCTGGCTACCATCATCCTAACACCAAGAGGCAAATGAGCTTGAAGACTATAGAGCCTCCTCAGCTGAAAACTCACATGAGACAGCAAAGAATCAGCATGCGTTTGGTGTCAATGACTACACCTAAACATCTCATCTCATCCACAACATTAACCACAAAGGAGCCAACACAGATGTACGGCATAGGAACATAACGAGCTTCTGTTTTATTATAATTCACATACAAACCACTAGAGGAGATCCACATAGAAATCAATCCCAATGTAGCGTTTGCCACATTTTCTAACTCAAAGAGAACTGCACTTCTAAAGAACACATGAATGTCATCCGCATACATGAAGACTTCATTACTGAAATTAGACACAGACCCCACAATGTCATTAATGAACATAATAAAAAGCAGAGGACCAAGCACAGACCCTTGTAGGACACCACACCGCACAGCACAAACATCAGACTGAACACCCCTGCGCACAACAAACTGAGATCTTCCACTCAAATACGACGATATCAGTCGAGGACTATTAAACAGAACCGCTTCAGTAACGAATAAGCCCCAACTCTTTTACAACCTGTCCAAAACATCTACATTAGAATGAAAGAAATCACGATCGATTTAGTACAAATGCAGTAACTTCCTACCAGGTCATTGATAAAATATTACGGCAATTGCTTTGCAAATATTATGTGAATTATAGCTTGATAAATTGAAAAGTGCAGTGGAAACAAATAAAGCGCAATCAAAAGGGCCAAATTCTCAACATCGATTGCGCACCAATTTCGAAATGTGGCATAGATTAAATCCCAGTTTCTTTGTTCACTTCGTTTCTAGTGTCTACCTCCTTATCATGTTAGCAACCTCAAGTTTAACGAATAAACCTCAACTATTTAACAACCTGCCCAATAAATATACATATTTTAGAATTAAAGAAATTACGATCGATTTAGTACAAATGCATTAATTTCTTACCAATTTATTGATAAAATATTACGGAAATTCCAAAATATTATGTGAATTACAATTATTAATTTCTTACCAATTTATTGATAAAATATTACGGAAATTCCAAAATATTATGTGAATTACAGCTTGATTAAATTGAAAATTGCAGTGGAAATAAATAAAGCGCAATCATAATGGCCAAATTCTCTGAATTATAGCTTGATTAAATTGAAAAGTGCAGTGGAAACAATTAAGCGCAATCAAAAGGGCCAAATTCTCGCCTTCGATTGTGAACCAATATCGAAATGTGGCATAGATTAAATCCCAGATTTTTATTCACTTCGTTTCTAGTGTATACTTCCTTGTCATGTAAGCAACCTCAAGTTTAACTCTTTAACAACCTGCCCAATACATTTATATTAAAATAAAAGAAATCACGATCGATTTAGTACAAATGCAGTAACTTCTTACCAATTCATTGATAAAATATTACGGCAATTGCTTTGCAAATCTCGGCAATTCCATAATATTATGTGAATTATAGCTTCATTAATTGAAAAGTGCAGTGGAAACAAATAAAGCGCAATCATAAGGGCCAAATTCTCAACTTCGATTGTGAAATAATTTCGAAATGTGGCATAGATTAAATCCCAGTTTCTTTGTTCACTTCGTTTCTAGTGTCTACTTCCTCATCATGTTAGCAACCTCAAGTTTAACAAATAAACCTCAACTATTTAACAACCTGCCTACATATTTTAGAATGAATTGTGGCATGGATTAAATCCCTGTTTCTTTGTTCACTTCGTTTCTAGTGTATACTTCCTTATTATGTGAGCAACCTCAAGTTTAACGAATAAAGGTCAACTATTTAACATCCTGCCCAATACATCTACATATTTTAGAATGAAAGAAATCACGATCGATTTAGTACAAATGCAGTAATTTCATACCAATTTATTGATAAAATATTATGGAAAGTCCATAATATTATGTGAATTGTAACTTGATTAAATTGAAAATTGCAGTAGAAATAAATAAAGCACAATCATAAGGGCCAAATTCTCTGAATTATAGCTTGATTAAATTGAAGAGTGCAGTGGAAACAATTAAGCGCATTCAAAAGGCCAAATTCTCGCCTTCGATTGTGAACCATAGATTAAATCCCAGATTTTTATTCACTTCGTTTCTAGTGTATACTTCCTTGTCATGTAAGCAACATCAAGTTTAACGAATAAGCCTTAACTCTTTAACAACCTGCCCAATACATTTATATTAGAATAAAAGAAATCAC